TCAGATATGTATTCACCATTTTCTGCTCTCTTATTCAAAAAATTCAATTTATGCCAGGTTTTTTATACATAATAGTTCAAGATTTGCAAAGCTTCCAAGCTTTGAAGGCCAAGCCAGCATAGAGCCATAAAATCATAAAACCGAAAAGATGTAAAAACCAAAGATCTACCAGGTAGAGTCATACCTGTGTCTGTCATCCTGTGCTACTGGCTCATATTGACTGAAATCTTACTTGCATACACAGAGGCAAGAAGGTAATGAGTGAACTACTCAGATGGAGTATTCTGAAATGTTGATATGATTGTTTACTTTCCACAAATCATAGTCTTGCTAAACCACAAATTAAAAAGTCATGAGATTATTTCAAAGCTATTAGGATATTTAATTTTTATTTTTGTTTGGTTCTTCTCCTCCCCCCACATATCCTTATGTTAGTATATGCAAACATAGTGAGACAATTTTGGATACTCTGATCTCTTATAGATGTGAAAATATGCCCCTGAATATAATTATCTGTGGCTAACAGAAGAAGCCTTTGTTACTTGTACACATTCAAAACAAAATGGTTTTGCATGATTTCTTACACAGGAACCTCAGCATCCTAGATTAACCTCAGCCTTAGCAATGAGGTCTTTATGTTAAAGTAGGACACCATGGGCTTATTCAGTTATTATATTCCACCAGGTTTGTTTGGACTAGAAAATTAAAGCAGGAATGAGATATGTTTAAGATGTGTTATTATTTTGAATATTTGATGCTATTCCTTTAAATGGTGAATTCTTACTTTATGAAAATAATTAAGCCTGCATATAAACTTAAAGTATGTATATAATAAATTATTAGTTACAAAGTTATTAATTATTAGAAATAAAGAGGGTTTTTAAAGAATCTCAGTAATTTAAGTAACTAGTTCCTACATTTAGTATTTTTAACTATTTAGCTACTTTGTTCATACACTTGTGCAAAAAAGCTTGAAAATTCTGTTCAGAGTTGTAGCTGCAGGCTTACAAATTAAATAGCACAAACCTGCAAAGACCAGCAGGTCAAATTTCTCGTTAACTGTCCTTTCAGAAAAAGCTGCCGACTTCCTGACATCTTCAGAGTTGTCAAAAGACATTATCACAGAGCAAGCTTAGCCCTTCTAACACTTTCTGTCTATAAAGAATCAAAGAGGGAGTTTTATGCCTATGGCTTGAAAATAAGGCATACACTGATTGCACACATTTATCTTAGTCAGAGCTGTGATGAGGTAAATAAAAGAGGGTTACTGCACACAGAAATCTGTAATCCATAATATTCCCAACAGATGGAATATAAATGAAATGTTTTCCTGGTTTTGAGAACCTCAGTGATAGTATTTCGTAATTTTAGAAAACATTACACACAGAACATTTGAACTGCAAATATGCAGATAAATAGATAGGCAGTAGGATACAGAAAAAGGCACAAGTAGATTTCCACACAGATAGTGTTGTTGATTTTACATTAGAGAAAACAAAAGCACAAAGTCCTTCCCACATGCTGCTATATATCCACAGCAAATGTATCAAAAAATGCAATCTTAAAGCATATATTCACTGACCATATTTTCAAATTCAGAAAACATGTTCCATATACATTTTCCTACATAGCATCCATAATCCTATGGAGCCACTGGATAGATACAAACTGTATCTCACTTATGTAATCCTGTGGTGACAGAGACACCAAAGGTTTCACTGTGCAGCTCTCAGAGCAATGAGCCGTGTCAGGAGCCCTGCCTTGTTCCAGCGCTTTGTGCACCCTTCAGCAAACCCCAAGTGCTGTCTCCTCATTCGCCTCTGCATAGCCTCAGACCAAGCCCTGGGAGACCTTCAGACCTCCAGATCTTACTGTACTGATGAGACATTAAATCCCAACAAGGAAAAAACTCACTGCAACACTGACTGCTCTGCTGCATTATGTTCCTTTTCATCAGCAACTTTAAAGAAAGCAGGCTCTATCCTACACATGCAGACATGAAAGGAAAGCAGCTTAGTGATGACCATCTGAGCTCCAAAGGCATAAAATGTGTAAAGAGAAACTTGAAAAAATCTGAATAAGTTAAATACTAAATGACACATGAAATATTGACAAATATTTAATCGCTTTTTAAAAAAAAATAAAATTACCTAGACAAAACTTAGTATTTGGCATCTTAGTAGAAGAAGAGACAAAAATTGAACACATTTGATTGTTTTGTTAAACATATTTAAGCATGGCCATATGTAACTCACTTCAAAATGCTTCAAAACAATGATTTGGGGCCAATATGAACCACAGCCAAAGTGGTTTCTTTAAAGAAAAAGAGAAATAAAACAGTAAGGCTTTTTGTCCCAGAGAAAACGTTAATGAATTAAAACTGCTCTAATTTATTTAAAAAACAGATCTATCCAAAATATTTAAAATGTGTAGATTGAAATGAAAATATTCTGTAACTCTTGAGATTTCTAGGAGGACTAATAAAATGAGCTAGCCATTCCTTTGTATTGGGGCATTATTAGGTACAATAAAAAATGCATCTTATTACATGAGAATTAAGAAGTTTGCTTAATGTCATACTTGCAGCCAGACACAACCATTACCTGTAACGAAGTCTCCACAATCAGTCTACTGCTTTAATTAGTAGTTTGACCTTCCTAGACATGAAAAATCACAGTCTCTTCTGCCACTGAATTATTTTTTAATTTGATAAAACAGAATTAACAGTATGTGCTATTCATGGTTGTAATCTATAGACACATTTTTGAAACAGATGCTCCTAATATTCTTTCTGCCCCTTGTACTTCATCTGTATGAATCACTGCCTGGGTAGGCACCATCTGTCCTTTGTTCTCTGTTGCCAGAATGGGCCACTTCAGAAGGGGAAAAAAAAAAAAATCAGTGTCAGAATTTCCTGGACAATGCAAATTCTGAGTTAAGGCAACACAGCTACTTCAGACTGGGATTAAATTATTTCTTAGTCTTCTTGTTATCCAAAATAGTTTGGGTTAATTATTTCTTTCATTATAAGAGACTTTTCCCAGAACCTCTGACCATTTTGAACACCTTTCTAGCGTGTTGATGCATGGAAATTGCAGAACTCAATGTAAGTATTTCTCTCATATTCTCACAATCATTCTGTACAAAAGTAGCATGTGCCTTCTGGACAGTGACCAGATTATTCATCAAAGCACCTCATTTACCCCATGACCTCAGGTTTGCACAGGCAGTTCAGGTTTAATTGGCTATTTATCATACAATATAAGCACAAATCTCTATTAGCAAGTGAGGCACATTGCTCTGTAATATGGATCTCTTCTTACACTTTAATATTCCACCTACTTCTATGATTTGCAAATTCTAAGCGATGCTTTCCTCCATAACATTGCTGAGAACCACAGACTTAGCTGTGTATTTTTGTGGTTTGCCTCTTTGATACCTCTGCCAGCCTACAAAGAATGCAGGCAAAGAAGAGATTTTTAGAGCAGAAAAGAAAGCAGTAAAAAGATAAACTACTCAACAGAGAGTACCAAGGACTCTGTAGAGAAAGATTGCAGAGGCAGTTAATCCAGGAATCAGATGTGTCCAAGCACATTAATATATATATATTCTCACAAGGCCAGAGCCTAGCAAGGAGATGTTAAATTCTTAAAGAGGGTGACAGCTCTCAGGAGTTCTACAGGATGGGAACTGAAAAAGAGAGCAGTCAAACTCAACCTAAAGGTCGTGCTAAATCCAGCTGTGAATCCCCTCTGGCGGGAACCTTGTTCCTTGCCCATCAGTGCGCTGGCCCGAGGCTGTGTGCTGCAGAAGCAGTGTCTGTGACCCAGGAGAGACCGGACGGCTCAGCTGGATGCCTCCTCACTCACTGGGCCGGTCACCCCAGCATTTGTGAGCGTTTCCTCACAGAATCAGTTTAGTTGGAACAGAACTTTGAGATCATCGGGTCCAACCTATGAGCAAACACCACCTTGTCAACCCGACCAGTGTCACATCCAGTCTTTAACACCTCCAGGGACGGTGACTCCTTCACGTGCCGGCACAGTCCAGTCCAACATCTATCACCCTTTTTTTGAAGGAATTACTCCTAATGTCCATCCTAAACCTCCCCTGGAGCAGCTTAAGACTTTATCCTCTCGTCCGGCCGCTAATCGCCTGGGAGAAGAGGCCAGCCCCTAACTTCCCTCAAAACCCGAGCTGACCGTGCCATTCCCGTGCTACCCGCTCCAGCTTCGAGTGGCTCCTTGCCCGTGCCAGCTCCTGCTGCGAGCGGACGGCACGTCCTGCGCTCACACCGGACGAACTCGGGGACCAGCTCCAGCCACCCGCACACCCCGCACCGTAGTGCCCTGCCCCGGGCATCCCCCGCCACACGCTCAGGGCTTCCCACGAGGAGAAGCCTCGGGCGTTTGGCTTACGGGGCCGGGCCCTGCCGCGGAGGGGCAGCGCTGACTGAACCCGGACGTTCCCACCCGCCGTGCCCAGGCCCCCGCCGCCAAGGGGCTCTCTCCACCCCCTCCCGCAGGAGGCCCGGCTCCCGGGACGGCGGGCGGCAAGGGGGAGCCCGGCGCGCGCCCCGCTCGCTGGGCGGCGCGCGCGGCCGCGGGGAGGGAGCGCGCGGGCGGGGCCGGCGCGTGACGCGGGGCCGCGCGGCGTAAACAGCGCGGCGGCGGCCCCGGTAACCGCGGCCCGCCCGGCCGGCCTCCCCCGGCGCCGCCAGGAGAGGAGAGGAGAGGCGAGGCGAGGCGAGACAAAGCAAAGCAAAGCAAAGCAAAGCAAAGCAAGGAAAGGCTAAGCAAGCCTAGGCTAGGCTAGCGCCCCGTCTCGCAACGTCCCCCAGAGCTTTGACGGCGCAGCCCGGCGGGGGCGGCGGCCGAGAGAAGCGCCCCGTGCGGGAGGAGCCGCTGCGGGCAGCGGATCGCGGCCGGGGCGCTGGGCTCGGTCCCCGGTAAGGCAGGAGGCGACGGAGCCCGAGCGGCGGCGGGAACCGGGCTGTGAAGATGGCGACCCCGGGCATGGGCTGGCAGCAGCCGCAGCACGGCTACGGCGGCGGATCCGCGCCCGGAGCGGGAAAACTCGGCTCGGCACAGGCGGGGCTGGGCGCCGAGCACAGCCCGGACCTGCACTTCAAAATGAGCAAGAAAATCGCTCAGCTGACGAAGGTGAGGGAGGCGCGCCGGGTCCGTAGCCGCCTCGGGTGTCTTCGTCCTCCGTTGTGTTTCCCTTCGCTCCTTGCCCTCAGCAGCGATGGGCCTGGAGAGGGGCAGGCTGCCGGGGCGGATGGCAAATCCAGGTGGGATGCGGCTGGATTTGTACTCCGGAGGCCGAGGCGAAGCGCCTTCGGTGAGCGGGAGCATCCCGCGGTCGCCGCGGGCAGGAGCGTGCCGTGGTCCCGCGGGGAGAGCTCCGGCGGTCCGGCTGGAGAGGAGCCGTGCACCGGAGCTGCCGCAGTACCGGCCCCCGTCAGTGGTGTCCGAATCCCGCCTGGCACAGCCAGTTATCCCGGTGTGCGGGAGCGGATCCCTGACTGCTGGGCTGGTACTGGTTATTTATTCCATGGGAATTGTAGCTTCTCTTCTAGCACTGTTATAAGCCCTTCTCCGGGTCTCTTTAAATGGAGAAATTCAAGTGATGCTTGCCTTCCCTTTGCTGAAGTGCTGCTATTTAAGGTGTCTGGTAATAGCTTAAATGCCTTAGATAGTGAGGGTGAAGTGTGAGAAAATTTCTGGTCTGCTATTGCTGATAGAACAGTTTTCATTATGTCATCCCTAGCGTGGAGAATACATTGTATCTTTGTGAGAGGCCAGAGTCACATTAGGAGGTGTTTTTAAAGCTCATTGTTAAGGCAGGTGGGCCCAATGTTTCAGATGTGACTGTAGCTGTGATTTACTTAGAATAACTTAAAACAATGCTTTGGTGCTGTAATCTCTCTTGTGTGAAGCTCAAGCTGTAGGCAAATGGCATTATTTAGGAAATGAGAGGCAGATTCTCTTTTTTAAAGAGAAAGAAGAAGTAATTTTTGTCAGGAATTTAATAGCGAAAACGTTTAAAGGTAGTTTTAAAGCACTGTAGGAACTGCCAGTATTCTTAACATGTATACTAAAATGGATGAAGGTGACATTTCTTTGGATCTAAGAATGAAGAGAATGAAGACTGCTGGCAGTCTCACAGTGGAGACAGTTCACATTTATGTACAGTTGATGCACCATTGACCAGTTAAAAATAGTATTTTTTGTGGCACACTCTGCACCTTAATTTGTTGGGAAGCTGATAACTGAGGGGAATCTTGTCCTTGAATTCAAAGTCCAATTTCTTTTGATGGTAACATCAGTGGAACTCTAATTGCATAAAAAGAAAAGTTGAACTGAAATAAGCTGAAGAATCTCCTTGGTTTTGCTTCATATGCATACAAATAATGAAATAAAACATTAAAGATATTACTACAGGTTTATACTCCCTAAAAGGTATAAAAAGCACCTGGAGACCCTAAGTGTGTTTTAGGCTTACCTTAAGGCCTAGGTGAATATGTAAAGTAATACTTTCAAAGAAGAGTTTGCATATCTGTGTGTGCCTTTGATATATTTCTCTTACTTTCTCTAGGAAATTACCCAGCAGTTTATCATTTATTTCAGAAACAGCATTCCACTTGTGATGTGAAGTCATTTGTGGATTACCCATGAGTTCCACATCACTGGGCATGTGCCCAGTGCACTCTCACTTATGCGTCAGATATCTTGAGGTGGATGTGAGTTAATTATGGATTTGAATGCATGGTGCTGAAATATTTTGAACTCCTGTGTTGGAAAATGCAAAGAGAGTGAAATTAAATACTTTTTTTTTGCTATTTTTTTTATGATCCACAATAGAGTTCATCTAAGATTCTATATATTGTGTGCACATCTGTCCCAACAAAGACTTCAGATTAGTGTAAATAAAACCTACGAGTTGTTTTGTGCTATGCATTTCAAATAATTGCAAACTACGTGCTTACACAAGGAGTTTACAAGTAAATTAGGCTTTTGCAGGGCCGGAGTCTTTCATGTTTCCCAGTGACTTGCAGATTCTGGCAGTGTTTTAGTTTGTATGTTGTGTTCTGTTTTCGAGTTTTAGTGAGAAAGCTTGGGAAATCAGGTGATCTTTCTATTGACTGAAGGTCTGGAGTGAATAATAGTACTTTTAAATGTAAACTAAGGTGTATGTAAAAATACTTCTCTTGCACCTATTGCAACAATAAAATTAAGATTTTAAAGATTAGGATTAAGATTAAAGGTATTGTATAAAATGTATTTCATTAAGTTAGAGTTGTACATTTTGACAGTTTTGTAGCTAGAGGGCTCAGATTCTACATATCTGTTGACCTACTTGACCTTTCAGGAAGGGAGGCTTAAAAGAATTATAGAAACTTCTTGGTAAAGTTTGACCTTCTAAACTTTCTAATCTGTTCTAGAATCTGAAGCCTGATTTGATAGCTGGCTGCAGAAATTAGTCCTTGGGAAAGGACTCAATCTACAGGGGAAAAATATAAATGTAATAAACTTAATTTCCATGAATGGGACTTAACCGTCAGAGAAGAATTAACTTTACTTTGCAGAAGAATCCTTGAAGTAAGTTGTTGCAAAAAAGATTTTAGGATATTTGTGTTTAGGTCTTTTGACCAAATTCTGCTGTTCTAGCTTTGTCAAATGCTTACTAGCATATGTGCATAAAATTCCTCTTCAGTAAACTAGGAATTTATTGTTAGGAGAACCACTTCTTAATTGTGCTTCTAAAGTTGTTTAATGTCTTGTATATAAGGTACTTCTTGCATGTCTTTCAACTGTTTTTCCCATTTATTTAATTCTTGTTCTAACTCTTCTCTAAGAGTGTCTTGAAGATATAATAATTCCCCCTTTGGATTTAGAGCAGAAGGCAATTTACCAGGTTAAAGCAAACCCACCAATAGTATGGTAAAAGAAAATCCAAATATTCATTGTCCTGGGAGTACACACAGTTAAGTTATCCAGACAGCTTCTGTCTTCTGACAAAATAAATGTGACTCCATAGTTTACTTTTGCCTATCCTTGTATTTTGTATTATGAGCTGTGCGTAGGAGTGGAAGAAAATGCTTTCTTCCACAGAATATGAGGGTCACTCATGAGTTAAATGTAAAATTCCAAAATTAGGATTCCTCAGTTATGTTTTTGCATTACTTAAAGGGAATCTGATGTTTTAGTCAAAACAATACAGGAACACAAAATAAAAGGTGAAATTTGCTTAATAGCCAGATTTAATCAGTGATTCAGAGTAAGGCAAAATAAGGTATGAATCCATTTCATTAAGCCAAACACATCTGAAGTGCTTCACTATATTTTTACTTTTGGGTGGGAGAGAAAGACTTACTTTGATTTAACTTTAATATGCTTAATTCACAGGGGAAGGTAAAACAAGTGGTTAGAAATGCAGGTCTAAAAAAACCAAGATGATACTTCATGTCCTGTTCAAAGTCTGCAGTAGATTGTAACTGAAGCAATTTTAGGTCTTCCTCTTCAGTATAAGCTCCTTATTTTCAGGCATTTCAGAAGATCTGTGTACTAGTTTGAGATAAAGTAGCATCTGACACAAAGATTAAAACCAGCAAGAAATAAACTGCGATTATGAGATTGCATATATGTGTTCGTACTACTGCATTCAGGAGTGCTAATGCAGTGTTGAATTATGCCTGCTGCAGATGAAAATATGCATATATATTTAATTACTTTGCATAAGACAACAGGATTAGGAACAAAAAGCAAGGTGCTACCATGCTTACATCAATAGGAGAGAATGGCATTAGTTTTCATGATTCCCACAAGAGTTCACGTGGCTTGTTTCTCATTTTGGATTTGCTGTTTTGTTTCTTCTTTCTTTCTTTCTTTCTTTGTGATGTAGTTTGTAGCTTGAGCATTTGTGATTGAGAAATCCATATCCTAAGGGTGTATGTAAAGTCTATTGTACAAGTTGTGTGACATCAAAATAAATCTTTAACTTCTACAGAATAGCTGCACGATTTGTGCTGGGACTAAGAGAATCTTCAGTATTGGTTTGTTTGTATGATATTTGTTGCCAAAATTTTACATGAACTGGAGCAGCTCTGATGAGAAAGAAACACCTGGTAGTGTTGATGGATGACAAAATATAACCTGGCAATGTGCTCTTGCAGCCCAGAAAACCAGCCCAGTATCCAGGGCTGCATCAAGGGAATGTGACCAACAGGTCAAGGGAGCTGATTTTCCCCCTCTACTTTACTCTCCTGAGACCCCCCCTGGGTGTTGTGTCCAGCTCTGGGGTCCCCAGCACACAAAAGACCTGGACCTGCTGGAGCAAGTCCAGAGAAGGGCTCAGAAGATGATCAGAGGGCTGTGGAGTGAGTCCAGAGGAGGCCAGAATGATCAGAGGGCTGGAGCACCTCTCCTGTAAAGACAGGCTATGAGAGCTGGGCTTGTTCAGCCAAGAGAAGAGACTGCTGGGGAGACCTCAGAGCAGCCTTCCAGTACCTAAAGGGAGCCTGCTAGAGAGGAACTTTTGATAAGGTCCTGTGGAGATAAAACAAGGGGGATTTGCTTTAAACTGAAAGAGGATAGATTTAGATTCGGTACTAGAAAGAACTTCTTTACTGAGAGGGTGATGAAGCACTAGGACAGGTTGCCTAGAGAAGCTGTGGATGCCCCATCCCTGGAAATGTTCAAGGCCAGACTGGATAGGATTTTGAACAAACTGGTGATGTGGAAGGTGTCTCTGCCTGGCAGGGAGGGTTGGAATTGGCTGACTTTTATGGTCCTTTCCAACCCAAACTATTGTATGATTCAGGGAGAAGAGTCTGTAAGTGCCATGAAGATCTACCCTACAGTTAGCATTTTTGTCCATTTAATAAAAAGAAACTGTATAAAACATGAATGTTTTCCCTTGGTACATACTTAGAGCTTGATGGTTCCGTTCTGGAAAGGTTCCAGAAGACTCGTTCAAAGAGTATGGTAACAAAGTTAACCAAGACACATCATCCTTGAGTAAACAAGAAACTAGAATCCAAGACTCCTGAGACCTGACTTTTGTTCTCAATTTTTCCAACAGCTTCTAGTCTATGTTTGGGAAACTACTTAAAAAAAACCAAAAAACTTAGATTTTATAAATATATTTATAAATATAT